ATTCTTACAGTAGCTACCAGCAGTGTATGGTTATTTGCTTTGAATATACGGAATTGTAAATGGTTCCTCAAAGACCTCAGTTAATGAAATGTGAGCTACAATCCTACGATGTTATTGATGGAGGTAGGTAATGTAATGGTGAAGAAGTTTGATAACACAATTTGATGATGCCGAGGAATTTTTGCACAATTTCCGAAATCAGCAGGAAGTGCTGCTAGAAGCTCTGAAAGGCACTCACAACGGACTGAACATTGCCCACTGGGTAAGGTTTTTGTATATCCCTCTAAGATTCACTCACAGTAGAGCTGAATATTTTCTCTTAGGAACACAAGGGACAAAAATCCTAAAAAACACCCAAGTATACAAGATATGTGTTTTGCTATAGGATACCAGACTAACCAATTCGAAACCGTTATTATCGTACACATTGTAAGAAACAAGAAGGATTTGCGACTTATTGTAAGCTTGACGCCGATGTTTCGGCATGATTCGATGGTCCCTACCCGTAGATGTGTTACATAGAAAAAGTGTCTTTACATGTCCCCATCTGCTTCAGCCGTAGTTTAAGGGTCGTTGAAGATAACTCGTGCTGAATATCAGTATCTTCATTTTGGGGCTTTGCAAGTTTAGGAAGGCCGAACCCTGGAAGTTTTTCAAGTAAGTTATGAGAGACAAGGTGACTGTAACTACATTGTTTGCCACAGAAATATGTTGTATATCTGACGCAAACTGCGGAATGTGGTCTAATTGTCGAGACTCTGGAGAGACGTAATTGTTTGAGGACGAGCTTAGAGAGAAGGTGAGATGTTTTGGTCGATTATTAGAGTAAATTGTCGGGTGTTCATTGTACTGTACAGCACAATACATGACTAGGAGCTCGCTGCCGAATGTGCTATACTTCGATTCAGCGTCTTGTGACCGTCTCGATAAGAGTATTAAAGGTTGACAACTGTCGTATACCCATTATTGTAAGAGTCCTCGAATCGTCGACTGGGATGCGGTAACTGCGATACTAATAGGTGCACTGATGTCCCGATGCGCGAGTCTGACAACTTAGTTTCATTGGCTAAGAGTTAACCAATAGCATAAAAGTAAATGTCAGAACGTGAAAGTTCGAGTAGACGTTCACTTCCTTACTTTGTGTAGGGATTACTTATTGAATGTTGAAACGCTTTGTGAGTTTGAAGTGGTGACCTCGCGCTCCATCGTGTGTTGTTCCATCATCCAAATGATGACCTAATCACTGCCAGCCTGTTTTCTTCTATCAGTAGAACGAAAGGTGCTCACCGTCATGGAATGAGCATGGTTGCTCGACATCGAGGAATGATTTTTTCGCGCTGTCGTCCAAATTGGAAATTCTAGAATTTCCACGAAGTTGACCTGTTAGGGTTCTCATGAGAGACGCACAAGTCCGTATGACACGTCGATAGGAATTTTCCGGGCCGTTGGATTTATGTAGTTGCTTGGTTGTTGTCCGTCCTGAATAATTTAGAATGGCTCTCACTTTGATTTTCAGAAGCTGGAGGTCTTGAGCATCAAACTTAGTACGAGAGGAACTAGGAAGTTGGTTCCGGTTTGACGTCTCTGGGTGTCTACAGTAATGTCGTACTTTCGCAGTTGTTCGAAAACAAGGTCTCGACTCCAAAGATGAGACTCTCTGACCGGACTTGGGATCAAGCAACCATATACATATGCTTGTTGGGATTCGGGACATCTAATTACATTGTTGATGAATGTGTGGAAATTATGTGCAGCTTTTCCGAAGTCAAACAGCATGCGCGGACGTCCTTAGAATCCGGAAGAAGTTATGATAGCGGTTTCGAGGATGTCGCTTGCAACCAAGGGGATTTGATTATATAGTATTACCAGATCGATTTAGGGGAAAACAGTATGTTATTGAAGCTAGCTGTCAAAATCCAACGGGTAATGATCGGCAGAGTTGTTCGTATTTATTCGCCGATCATTGCAAGTTGGATGACAATCATTGCTGTTTAATTTAGGAAAATTGTGCGATAGAGATGCCCATGGGCTGTTCAATGGCCGAATAATTTCCAAGTCTATCATGTGGTCGAAATTGATTTCGACCAATATTAGCTTCTCGGGAGCTAGTCGGTGCTTTCTCAAAAATAAAAGTTGTCCTGTAATCATGATGTAGTATGCAGCACTACTGGTAACACACTGTGATTTATTTTATGTTTGGTGCAAACCAGAGTACTTATCGAGTATCTATTGATAGAATGAGTCGATAACGTACCTAATTGTTAAGAGTACTCATGAGAAATAGGTGGGAAAAAATCCTTTCTAAACTTATGTTAATGAGTATATGCATAGTTAGGCTTTTTTATTTTAATCGTAAATAACTTTTCATTTCTTCCTATCTGTTTAAAGCTATCATAAAGGAGGTTTTGTGGAGATTGTAGTAATTCAGTAGTTCAATTAATGAGTCAATTAAAACTAGACCAATATTAAACGTCTGTAAGCACCGGACGACCTTTTCGTCCTAGTATGGTACTCCTCAGCCATGCGCACCCACAAACCTGCCCCACGGGATTCGAACTCAGGACCCCCGGACCCACGTGCTAACGCTTAAACTCTAAACCACTGAGCCGACATCCAATGGTGTTAATGTCTAGCTCCAGCCAATCCTCGAAATTGGGCCACCGTCCACCATTATCTTCAGTGATTCACTTCTTGCCAACTGACACAGTTGAACTTCACCAATACTTCCTGGTTTTCCATGATGATCTGGTTTCAAATCGACTCATGAATTCAAGTATTTTGAAGTTATACTCACTATAATTTAATTTACACATGAATTTCGGTATCTCCATATTCGTGGTTCTTATATTAACTTTGTCTTAGATCTGTCATGAATTTTTAAATCATGAGCAGAATTTCAGTAATCCTTAATCTAATGTTCATTAAATTGGTCAATATATTAATATTTCAGCGTCTCTACCTTGCTATTTTTCGATATTAAAAGGAGTAACTTACGTTATTGCTGAAATACAGTTTACTTGGTATCTTCTGTTTATTTGAAATCCCCATGATCAAAAGAGAAAAGGAGAATCAAAGAACACATTACACCGAGAAATGGAGACATACATGAAAACGACGAACAACAGTTGGATGGAACCAGAAAGGATGGCCCAGGACAGAGCGGGTCGGGGGGGGGGTGCAGGTTAGGCGGTCTATGCTTTATCGAGAGTAACAGGCATAAGTAAGTGAGTAAGTGACTGTGAACAATCTACAGACAGAAAATGAAGTTCCACAAACATGTAGTAGTAATGGTTCCTAGTCACTCGATCTTCAGAGCTGAACATATAATTACTGAGAAGATTCACTTTCAACATGTAACACTAAGAAGATGTCAGGAATGGTGAACGCGGGAACATTTATTAAATCGCAAGGCATGGCTCAGCCTTACAGACGTGATCATTATATGTAACTTGTTACTATTCACAATAAATATATTAAACATCAAAATTAAAACACGAATTTCAGCGAAGGGATCTCTTTTCAACGAATTTATTATCAAGCTGTACAATCGTATATATATGAAAATTTTGTTTTTGTAAAAGTACTAATTCCGTGAGGAAATGTGAACACAGTTAATAAAAAAAGGGGTTATAATACTAGATTACGTAATATGAATAATAACAATAACAATAGATTTAGTGATTATAATAAGATGATTAAAATGATTTTGATATAATAATTAAAGGTCATAGAGGTGTACAAAAATAAACTGATATGATGAGCGTTCATGAATAAAACAATGAGAATATAAGACATAAGTAAAGGGGGAATGCAGTAATAATAATAATAATAATAATAATAATAATAATAATAATAACATTAATGGTAGGATAATCAAACTAATTAAGGGCAAGGTAACGATAAGACGTACTTCTTTTGTACGCATAGTTCTGGTTTAAGCTCCTGGATGGCAAGAGCTTCGGCTATTTTTAAAAGTTGTATACGAAGAAATCTGGGTAGATTTGAACGAATCATATAAACAACCTTAAAATCAATTTGTGGATCTGTTGAATGGTTATAGTCGATTAGGTGTTCAAGAATAGAACTCCTAACTGCTTTCCTTTCACCCTTATAGAACCAGGCTAGGATATGTTCTCGTATCTGAGTTGAAAGCGAGCACTGGCTACGGCCAATGTACCTTGCTCCACAAGAGCAGGTGAACTGGTAGATGCACATGGAGGCGACCAGACGCGGAAGCTTATCTTTTATGGATACAGAAAATAAGTTTCTACTAGTGAAGGATATTCGCAGTTTTGCCGCGTTAAATGTTCTTCTAATAGTTGTTGTTAGACGGTTTTTGATTACGTCCGATGTTCGGTCACCTTTAAATTCCAGACTTATATAAAGGTTTTTCTTTGGAACGGAACAACTAGAATTCTTCTCGCGACTACTTTTATTCATATTCTTTTCTATGAACCGTTCTGGGTAACCATTTTCCGTCAAAGTCTTCTTCAGGAATGCGAGTTCTTCGTTAATGCATTCCGTACTGCATATGTGATGTATGCGATGGCATAAAGAATGGATAAGGTTTCTCTTCCTACTTAACGGAACCCAGATATAGAAGTTGGCTAGCTGGCCATTCCATGTTTGTTTTCTAAAGATGGATCTTTTTAAAGAACCATTACTCGTTCTCATCAGACGTACATCGAGAAAAGGAATTGATTGGTCTTGTTCCCTTTCTAACGTGAAGTCTATGGAAGGGTGGCACGAGTTAAAGGTATGTAGAATATCATCTAAATCAATATTATTGTCACAAACAACAAACGTGTCGTCCATGTATCTCACGTATAGGTGGAATCGATTGATCATTGAACGGAGTTGGTCGTTTTCTACTTTTGCCATGAAACAGTCTGCTAGGTTTGCCAACTGAACACTTGAAAGAATTATTGTTACGCTGTACTTTTAATGTTCAGTTCAGTTTCAATAATGAAATATATAGACAAAGGGATGGGATCGCAATGGGGTCTCCATTGGGTCCAATTTTAGCAGATGTAATCAAAAACCGTCTAACAACAACTATTAGAAGAACATTTAACGCGGCAAAACTGCGAATATCCTTCACTAGTAGAAACTTATTTTCTGTATCCATAAAAGATAAGCTTCCGCGTCTGGTCGCCTCCATGTGCATCTACCAGTTCACCTGCTCTTGTGGAGCAAGGTACATTGGCCGTAGCCAGTGCTCGCTTTCAACTCAGATACGAGAACATATCCTAGCCTGGTTCTATAAGGGTGAAAGGAAAGCAGTTAGGAGTTCTATTCTTGAACACCTAATCGACTATAACCATTCAACAGATCCACAAATTGATTTTAAGGTTGTTTATATGATTCGTTCAAATCTACCCAGATTTCTTCGTATACAACTTTTAAAAATAGCCGAAGCTCTTGCCATCCAGGAGCTTAAACCAGAACTATGCGTACAAAAGAAGTACGTCTTATCGTTACCTTGCCCTTAATTAGTTTGATTATCCTACCATTAATGTTATTATTATTATTATTATTATTATTACTGCATTCCCCCTTTACTTATGTCTTATATTCTCATTGTTTTATTCATGAACGCTCATCATATCAGTTTATTTTTGTACACCTCTATGACCTTTAATTATTATATCAAAATCATTTTAATCATCTTATTATAATCACTAAATCTATTGTTATTGTTATTATTCATATTACGTAATCTAGTATTATAACCCCTTTTTTTATTAACTGTGTTCACATTTCCTCACGGAATTAGTACTTTTACAAAAACAAAATTTTCATATATATACGATTGTACAGCTTGATAATAAATTCGTTGAAAAGAGATCCCTTCGCTGAAATTCGTGTTTTAATTTTGATAAATATATTATTCTGTCCTCAACTCAAATGTGTTCTTCAGGAGTACTAAGTGTCATACTGGCAATTGTCACGGTGCGATGAGTCAGAATAGACAATGGTGTGAAAATTTGGCGTAACCTTTGTCTGTACGTTGGGATCACACGTCTAATGACAAACTTCTTCATCGTGTCGCAAGGTTCCTAAGCATTACAAGTATCATACTGAGTATTATGTACCTGTCAAAATAGCGCAGTAGTACTCTCAGCACTGCAGGGAGTTGTGCACGCGGGCCCGTCATGTCGTGCTTATATCTAATCACTCCGTGTATGAAGATTTAGAACGTTGTTTTGAACTGTAAGACAAAAAACGTAGTTAAGTCAGTAATTTCTAAGCAATTTCCACATTGTAATAACTTCATACTCTGCAGTATGATCGAGACAATAAACTTCGCTAAATTGCTCTTGGGTCATCAGAAAGTTAAGCGAATCTTGAGACAAAGCTAAGTTACATTTATGTGTCAGCTTGTACTAGGCTTCAACATCTGATTTTTAAGCTTGGCAGTTGTTAGAGGGAAATGGAAGAGCAGTCAAATATCTGTGAAACTAAACTGAAATGCTCAGAGTACACAAAAGCTTAAATCATAATATGTATAAGCATTTTACCGAAATCTACTGCCGAATTATCTCTGACTTCCCAGGAAACCCTACATTTCGCTTTCTGCTGACGTATCAAGCCAATAAAGCCCCTACAACACATAGCTTACTACAAACTACCAGAGTTCTATCAATCCAGGGATTCCAGATCACTATATATTATAACAAGCTTGGCTGTTTCACTTGCTTAAATGTCACTTCCAAATCAGCATACGCCATTCCCTAATTAGAAATTACTTAACTAATACGCCTTGAGAATCAAAATCGTCAAGTTTTACAAATTGGTTTCACGTTTTATTGTACAACGTAAGATGCAACTGAAGCGCGTAGCTCAACTATTCAAACACGGATATTTCATTATTCAGTAGAGGGAAATGGGAAATATAGTACCGATGTAAAACAAGAAGACAAAGAAAGACAACTCACAGTTATGAATTCCTTATCCTAACACCAGGTTTTTCGTTGACTACCAACTGCTTATACATAACTGCTACAAGATTACTATTGCGGGCCACAGATCGCTTGATTACCTGTGAGAAAGTTTAAGCACTACATACTGAGGAAGATCTAACCTAGTCCAAATAAAAAAAACAACAATATTAACTTAGTAATTATAAGCATAATAAGGTCAGTTGAAACACCAACTACGATGGAACTCTAAATTGGACGAAATAACATCCAACCTGACTTGCAGAGATGAGAAAAAGACTGTAGATCACCAAAAGTAGGTTGTCCATTGATGATCGGGGTCCATTGTAGTAGAATGGGAATGCTGTGACACCTCGCTGCACAGTACCTAACGTAGATTGCTCTTTCAAATTATTTAGATGTTATGGCTATTTTGATGACCAGAGAACAATCATGACCTTACTAGAAATGTGTATACTGGGAATAGACTACAGAAGTACATAGTAGAAACACTGTAGTGTGCGCCAATTCATGGTATGCAAAAGATCAATCCCCGTAAACCATCCTTAACCTTGACGATGTTCGGTAGGCTATCAGTGGTCTGTCGCCTAACGTAGAAATGGTTTAGCCTGATGGATGATTTTGCCCTACATCATGCTCATCCAGCCAATGAGACACGAGTATGACTAGCAGGCCCGATAATTGCATCAGTCGATTTTGGAAGTCAAGTAAAAAGTTGCTGAACGCAAGGAAATACTGTAAAGTAGAAGTGACAATAAGTAGTGGAATTGAATTTCATATCTTAACTAGTAATTCCCAAGATTCTGCAATTTGCACTTTGGTATTCGCAAATGAACTAGTAGTCACAAAGTAGTGAGCGGACCAGGTATTGTATATTTTTACTTCAAATTAAGCGTGCAGTAATGTATAAACCATTTGTAATAGTATACCAACACTATATATACATTCGTGTGTGAATATGAGTAATAACCTTATCTTCGATCCAAAGTTACACATGGCACACAAAAGCAAATGAATGAAAAGGACAACTTTATATTGACAAGAAACAAAAGGTCGATGTCATGCAGTACGAATATAAGAGGAGTTCCACTGCCTACAGGTATACACAATCTTACAATTGCCTTATATGTAGCAGAATAACGATTAAATGAGTCGAATAGATAAAACTCGTCTCCGCATATACTTACTGCTGCTGTTTGTCTCCGTGGATACAAATATCTAAAATATATTCTTGGAATATATTTTGTACTTAAATTTTATACCACTGTTACACAATATATATAGCCGTGATATTGGATAAGAAATTACATGGAGAATTATATTCAAATGGAGTCAACAAAGTGGTAAAGTTTATGATAATTGTGTATTTCAGTGAGCTATTTACATGTTTGAATTAACTTTGGTTTTAACGACAGTGTCTACGTCAGTTTATTTTACTTTTACTATACTTAACCAATTTCTACCTTTCTGGCACAACAGCCAATGTATACGTCAAATTACTCAAATGTTTACACGTGCATACATGCTTGTACAACTTTAAAATAAAATTTTAACACTTGATTGGGGGATTTTATGTCACTTCTCTTTCTTAAAAACTCATAAAAAATAATGGAATCAGAAATATTGTAACCTATTTTTCTTAACAACTGTAATTCAACGATATTTTCTAATAGAATCCTTGAAACAAACCCTTCTTGCTTGTAAACTTGTATATCTTTTATGTGACTTTCAGCTACTTAGTAATCGTTTCAAGATCCCCAGATTCAAGTTAACATTCTATCTGAGTCATATCAACATTAACAATTTTATTGTATTTTGTTTAACAATCCTAAATTCACATACTTTAAACGATGTAATTTGCCCTTAACCTGGTCATTTTTCGGATTATTAATTTGGATATATAACTGTAGAACTTGAAGACAATTTATCGAAAAGAACATTCTTCGTTTAAATACTTAGTAGTCAATTACTGTTACTATGGTCAGTGAGGTGAAATCTCCAGGTTGTTAAGAATCCTTTATATTTTTACTGACCACTGCTGAATTTATGAAATAATCTATAGAAATACGAAATGTTCCATCATTACAATAATAATAATAATAATAATAAAAGTTTTCATCACTATAATTACCGCACAGATAATCAAACAATAGACTTGAAAATGAATGATAGCAGATAATGAATGATTGGAATTTTGCGTCAGTATTAATTTTATACACAACACAATATACACCAATATATATGCGGAAGACAAATAATTAAAATGATTTAGTACTGATTGTTTCTCATCACCTTCCGTTTATATTCTCTTTAATATATCTAATTATTTACACACTTCTCATTATGTTATTTTAATAACGTTAAGTGATTATTATTGAACTATTAACTAGGATTTCTATTATTTATATCATCACTATCGTTGTTACGTCTATCTACTTACTATTAATTTGTAGTTTTTACTTACTATTTCATTTCTTTAGTTCAGGTAAATTTAACAAACAACTTTTCTACAGACTGACATTGTATGTATATATATAAGTACTTGCCCTAATATGAAAATATACAACAACAAACACCTTTCATATCATAAAGTCTCTTAAATATAAGACAAAATAGAAACAAATAGTTTAATGAACGAGGAGGCTGTAGAGTTAGTTCAGTAACCAAGAAAAAGGCTGATGAAAGTATATTAAGCAAAACCAATCCGATATTATAATCAATGACTAAGAACGGTCTCTAATGTAAACAAATTATTTTAGATGAAATAATAATGCAATAATGAGAATCATAGTAATATAACAATGCAATGATTGTCAATAAATTTGTGTGACTGAAGTATACAACGAGAACTTTCTTGTCGTGTTCCAGTTACTTTAAGATATTGTGTTATAAAACAAAAGTGACATGAATAACGTTTGAAATAAAAGGAAATAATTTAATTCTGCAACAAAATGATCATTTGAATTTTCTTTTTAAAGTCAAGTTTGGTTAAAATATACGATCAGGAAACAGAGCCGGTGCAACTAATGTCCACACATAAATACCCAAACATACCCAACTGCTCACAATACGTACCCAAAAACCAGCTGAATTGCTGACTAGTGTTTTCAAATCATTTTGTGGCTTTAGCCAATTAGTAAGCATGACCATAACATACAATGTGGCTAGTAACATCATAAAATGATACATAAAATAGTTATAAGCCACACCATTTTTTTCATTATCCCATACTTTTTGACCATCACGTCCATCGTCGTCATCAGCACTAGAAAATTGTTCTGCCAAGGTTGTATCTTCTGTACCCTACAGAAGAAAGGCAAAAGTATAAACAAAAACAAATTTAATTTCCTAAATCAACTAGAAGCAAACAGATGTCATGTTAGATATTTAGAACTAATAAAGTAGAAAACTAGGATTTGTTTAGTTTTCTTCGTTAACACTTACAGTTTAACAAGGCTTGTGTGGAAACATGAACACTTTGTTGATGATTAATGTTATTCGGTGCTATGGAAAGACTGTAAGACTGCTTTTAAACGATAACCAGAAATACAATTGGTATATATTTCTAGCCATAAAAACAAGGTAAACACTCATAGGTCTAATGAAAATCTAAATATGACGCCATTTCTACTCTAGATTGTCTTATACTGACTTAATGCCCACATATTAAGTTGACTCACGGAACGAGCTTTTCTTTCATCCTTTGAACTAATGTAATACTAGTCTGTAGAGAGCAATAACCCAATTGAAGGATACCACATCTTTCTAATCTATGATAGATCAGTGACATACAGTACAGACCAAGAGGCTTCTTGGATAACATATTTAACATTCGAATAATAAAACAGACTTGCAAAAAGATAGACTATTTCGAAAGAACTTAGCAGGCTTTTAACACAGATGATACAGAAGTGACATAATAAATAAGACTAAATATTTTATTGGAATTCAAGATTACTCGAGAACATTTGGTGCTTAGTAGATAATTAGAGATGTCAATGTCAACGATTTTACCAAGACCAAGCAAAATTAAATTACGGGAAAACATACAACATTAGGTTAGATTTTACTGAATTGGACATAACTCATTTTCAATCATTAATGAACTATGGCTTTGAGCCACCATCAATATGACCACTAGCGATAATACGTTGCCGCTAGACAGAAGTAAGCGTTGTGATGTTTGAACATGTAACCTAGTAATTCAATGGCATGTTTTGATTTGTTATCGTAAGCCTACTTGAAACTACCAGTACAGTCGAATCACTCCAAGTCCAGAAAGTTAATCGAACCCAATAACTTCATATAAGGATAAAGAATAAGAAATGAATGTAACTGATGGAATTTTAACTACATTTATCATGAGCACGATTACTAGTAACCCCGAGTTCATAAGTGGTAAAAAGGAATGTAGAATAATGATGAAACATTATATAAGTGTAGACTAATAATGCAACTGTTAATCAAGGTTAGCTATAGACAAAAATGGCGATTTCCAACGATAAGCCATTATTCGAAAAAAAATCAAATAACATGCAAACCAAGTCAAAACACTCATCCACTAAATTCAGCGTCAATGTCTACATTTACTAGGACAACTCATTTCCATATTATTTGCTTTCGTAGATTCTTATCTAATTTTATTTGACAAAAACATCTATTGATCTACATAAATAGATAAATCTATTAATCAAAGATGACCTAGATAGTAACACTATATATATATATATATATATATATATATATATATATATATATATATATATATGCCTACCAATTAAGAGACGAGTATACTGTGCAGCAGTTCGGTTCGCCGTATACGGTATAACACTTGACTTTTATCCAAACATGTACAGAAGCGGTTTATTGTAAACTACAAGAGTAGATCGACAGCCACAAATTATTTTATGAAATTCCTTCACTGAAACAACGACAGCTAATCCTTCCTTTTCTATTTGACTACATTTTCGTTTGGTTGCACTACGAACTCTTGATGTTATAGATTTTTCTTTATCATCAGAAAACCAGTGATTAATAACAACTTCGATTCCATGGTTAAAAGCATCAGCAGCTGCAGTTATTTCTAATTTAGGATTAAACTTTATCAACAGTAGTTTTGAGGATAATATTCTTTTATTTCGCCGAATGTTTACATTTAAATCCAGTTCCATGTTGAGTTAACTACCAAGGGTTGGTTTAACGGGTATCGTAACACGTGCATTGAAGATATAAATAGGACACAGTATACAAGCATTTCCAGGAACGAAGTGTGCTAGAATCTGTTGGTCTGAACACGTGTTTGATGGTATTTACACTATCCGGAATTGGCCGATGACCATCTTTACTAAATATATACCTAAGGTACATAACGAACTAAAGCAAAAATTCACATCTTTTTTCTTTGCAATTAAAAACAAACTTGTGATATTTTGGTATGCTATATATCCGATCGACCTATTAGTTCCTCAGCGATTACGGCAACAATTACAACATAATCCGGGTAAACTGCCAAACTTTGCAGATTAAACAAGGTAATATCCATTATTTGCTGGGAAATTTCTAGCGCTGGTTTCACACCGAATGGTAACCGGTTATACTGATAAAGTCCACTATGAGTATTAACGGCTAGAGACTCCTCTGATTTTGTATCAACTTCTAGTCGCAAACAGATTTCAGATAGTAAATAAATCTTTTGGTAGAGGTAATGGATATGAGTGATGCTGTAAATCATAAGTAAAACCAGTTGAAAAATTTACATAAGGACGAATGGTTCTATTTGTTTTCTAAAATACGACAACTTGAACTACTCATGCTGAATAAGTAACAGTTTGCATAATATTGAGTTTCCCTAGTGGGTCTGATTCGTTGTCAGCGTTATCTGTGGCAAGATACGGAGATCGATGTTATGGATGAAAAGCGGATTTCACATCTTGTCGTAGGTATATTTTCAGCTTCCCAGTTGTGCGTTATCCCAACCTATTCTGAAACAATTTTGCATGTTTTCTGAAGTCATGACAAACAACGGAAGCTAATTTTCGAGACGTTATTTCACTCAATTCAGCGCTTGTGAAACACTAGCATATATTTTTATCTTTAGTTTATTCTACAAATCATAGGCTTTCGTTTGACGTGCGACTCACTGCTATAACTCATTCTTTTCTAAAGCCATTGTAATTTAAACGTGGCCTTTTGTACTCTATTTTCCTACCCTAATGCCCAGTTTCGGACATAATTGCGTTTTCTTAACTGCTTGTTCGTTGTGGTCATGGTGTAGTAAACAAGAACACGAGTGGGGACAATCGAATGTGTTTGAACACACAATTAAAGAACATCTTACTAAAATCTGAGAACCATACCGTGAATAGTTAATTTGCAAAATATCAACCAATTGTCTCAAACTTGACTGTTTCTTTCACAAATATCAGTCTGTCGTCTCAGATTTGATTGTTCGTGCATTTTCATACCAATTGCCTTCCATTTCCGTTCTTTCTTTATCGATCTTCTACTGAAATACATTCTATTCCTAATTATCGTTATATACTACTTGTGTGGATATAAGTAGCTTACACCACAATGATAGTCATCTATCTAGTCATTAATCGGAATCGGGATCGAAAATAAGTCGAGTAGTATGCCAGTTGACTCGTCCTTTCTCTGTCTTTCGGTTGTAAACCAATCAGGTGATAGAACAGTTTTCGTCTCTCTACCCAAGGCCGTTAATCTCATTTCGAACTCACGCATACTAGCCTCAAAGTTAAACAAGTTAGCCTATCGTTCAAGGATTTAGTTAAGATCAATACAAGCTACCTTTCGTAAATAATTGGACAGACAGATCAAGAGCGCGGCATTTTCCCACGTATTTTACTGTCAAAACTGTCTTAGTTGCGTAAACGATTTAACCTGTCTATTCAGTCAATGGCAGTCAAATCGAAGTCTCGTCTGTCCGTTAGGTAATAATTTTTCGTGAAATAATTACTGTGAATTTGAAAAAAGCATTTCAATTATCCCGATCGACTTTAATATAACTCCGGATGGATCGCTGGCTGTCTGGTCGGTAATACTTATGGGCAGCTCAATAAATTCCGTGTTTCCTTAGAGGTCAGAGCGATATCTGACGCTTTGTAAAACTGTAATTGAATATAAGCACTGTTTGTCAATAAGTTCACATATCTTTTGTCAGCTATACTTATTGCAAATGTAGCAAATACACTTTTTATAAATTTGATACAAGGGCTTCGTTGGTCGTGATCACGAACTCTTTCGATTGGTATTGGCTATACTTCGTGCCGTTTTGTCTTTAGACCGTCTTAACATTAGAGACAGTATGGTTGAATGGAAACGCACCATTAGTTTCCATAATGAGTGTATCTTGTTCTATGTTTATTAGTCGTTGACGTTCTGTAGTAACAGACTGGAGCTTCATCTCATTATTATGTTTAATCCGGGACAACAATCGTGTGAGAAAATTGGTATATGTGGGAGAATTTAATCCAGAAATTTAGTCTGAGCACTAGCTAATACACTTAACTTGAGACGCTCTGCTTGCACATTCAGCCTTTCGACATACGTAAGGTAATTTTCGTTAGCTTCTTTTGTCAATGGTAGACAACTATAACTAGTACGAGATTACAATACTTGTTTATAAAACATTTTATCAATAATGTTAACAGCTTCATTAAAATAAAATTATCAGGTGTTTAGACAGAATATGATTTGAGTACTTTTAATGCTTATTCAGACCAAGCATTTTAACAGTACCTGGATCACTTTTGAGTTATCTTAAGCAGTACATTTTACCCGGAAAAGGTCTTTCATTTTGCCAAACCAGGCTTTAAAAGTATGTCTGCTATCTACATCAAAAACAAATCGCAGAATTTAACTGAGAAGTGGTTCTATAACTTTCTGTTCTGGGGCGCTTCACTAGTAAGAACCAAATGAGATTATTCATCGACCGAATTCATTCATTTTTTAAAACGTTACTCGCAGTGATTTTTAATCAGATCAATTGTCACATTGGATACCAACCAAAATTAAAGCAAAAAAAAATCCTAAATATCACGTCAAAAAGCACATACAGTTAACAGCCACGATAGTATATCAATATGTTAACTAAACTAAATAAGAGGATAACAACAGGGTTTATTTACTGATCATACAATAGCGGTTTCTTTAGGCAATCCAAATGACAAATGAAATACGGATTTTAAAGAGAAAACGACAAAAGTATGAAAATTAGTAAGTGAGATAATTGACCATAACTAAGTTCAAAATAAACAGTAATAATCCCAAACGTATAATCCTAGAGGCTTCGAGCATTAGTGATAACATGATACTCGGTTTGTGCGAAAATTGGGTCATAATATCTATATTATCGAGCTAATATTCAAAAAGACATATAGAGGAAATGGAAAAATTCAGAAAACGAGGTCCATGGTATGAACGACCACTTGTGATCTAATTACGCAAGGATGATGTACGACTAAAAGGCTGATGAATCAAAATATTGTGATCGACGTCTTCCAGTATACTTTAGTGGTATATATATAGGGTAAGCTACGACTATTATTAGTGGTATCCAATTTGCTGGGTTTTCAAAAGAAAACATGAGACAATAAGGATGATATTTGGAAATGTATATTCATTAGAAACAACAAACAGTTGGAGTAATTTACGATTATAGGTAGAATAAAAAAACAAATAAACACTTACGGAAATAAGGAACTTTCCAGCTGATGTTTTTGTACTAGATCTTAGGGTGGAGTAAAGAACAGAAAAAACGAGCACTATTATACCGATAGCAATATGTCGATCGAACTTCAAAACAACTGAACCATCCTGTGTATTTGTACTGTTTGCGATAGTTAGGGATGGGTTGCATACTGGATCGTGACCATTTGTTAAACCAGACCATGTCAGGAAAGTCACATAGGCAGTAATCATCGAGGACTGAAAAGAATTATGTTGTTAAGTTACATCAAAACGATATATCATTGGTAATAAGAATAATTTTTATCAGCATAATAAAATATTAGGTGAAAGAACTATGTATTTTGAAGTGTTCAACTGATTACGAAAACTAATGAAGAAAATATTTATTTATTTGTTTAAACAAACATTGGTACAAGGAGGTGCCAAAACTATATTTGCGCCACACAAGTCATCTGATTTTTATGTGGGCTGTGATACTGCCCTGGTGCCCAGACCGAAAATATAATTGAGGAAAAAATGTGAAATTTTCATGAACATTTTTAACTGTGATCAAATATTAAAAACGCTAATGTATAAATCAAAACACATATAAATGTACAATACCTATCAATTATATTTCCATCAGGTTTTACTTATATGGATTCACCTCTCCCTCTCGAAATGCTCTCACATGTCCACGCGTATACAGTCACTGTCAGGGAAGTCCTACTCACTGACTTCTCGCGGCAGGGTTGTTGTTTACGAAATTGAGAGGACGAAAATTGAATGCCCGATGTTTTGACCAGGTATGTGGATATGGAGGATTTATTTATTTAAGCAAATAAACACTGGTACGAGGAGGCACCAAATAGATATGCGCCACACAAACCATTCGATTTGTGTGAGGGCTAGGATACTGCACGGGTGCCCATACCGAAGATGGTTTTCTTAGAAGGCCACTCCCTGAGCTTTTGACCTAAAGGTCTAATCTACAAGGCAGTAGAGCAACCTGAGGGGATGCAATCCCATGGTAGCCGGTGACCAACGAATGGTTCACACGCCATTTGTTCACTCGGAATCCTGGAGCCCGTGTGCACCATTGGTTTGGAGCTGGGGTTTTCCAACTCCCCTAGGTGGACCATCCGTGTCCACTGACCGGGTTAAAGAGCCGGACATCCGCTTTTCGTCCTCAATTTCATAAACGACACCCCCGCTGCGAGGCAGTGAGTGAAACTTCCCCGTCAGTGGTTGCATGCACGTGGCCATGTGAGAGCATTTCGAGAGAGAGTTGACTCTCCCCACTCTCGGACGTACCAGGGCATTTGGGAGCGGATATGGAGGATCTACATAGAGGAGTTGGAAAACCCTGATTCCAAACCAATGGTGCACACGGGCTCCAGGATTCCGAGTGAACAAATGGTGTATAAACCATTCATTGGTCACCGGCTACCATGGGACTGCATCCCCTCAGGTTGCTACACTGCCTTGTAGATTAGACTTTTAGGTCAAAGGCTCGGGGAGTGACCCCCTAAGAAAACTATCTTCGGTATGTGCACCCGGGCAATATCACAGCCCTCACATGAATCGAATGATTTGTGTGGCGCAAATATAGTTTTGGCACCTTCTTGTACCAATGTTTATTTCAATAATCATAAAGCCCTGTTATAAATGCCCTAGCCTGTGAATTGAAACCTAAAAATATAAAGTTGATATAATGGTGAAACCATCGACCGATTTATAGAGGCCCGACTCAAAGTCGTCAACAAGAACCGTAATTCGTTCTTTGAGGCTCTACAACTGCATCGATTAAGGTAATTGAACTAAGTATCGCATACGTCCAGCCTTTTATTTAGAGTACCATATTACTCGGAACCAAAGGATGGGAGAATGTAAGGTCTATATGACAAAAACAAGGGATCATGAAGACGTTGACTACTGACCTGAGTTGTAGTCTTGTTGGCTTTTCATGTGCGTTTTTGAAAATAGAAACCATGTACGATAATTGTTCAAAAATGGCAACCATATAAACATGTTTTGGTATTTTGTCTCGGAATTACTTTGCCTCAAATTACTGCCATTCGTCTATCTTTACTTTATGGCCCGTCTCCGCATTTAGTCAACACATTTCTCTATAGTACATTAGACGAAGACTAGAAATTGCTAAATCAAAAAGGTAGGACAAAACGAATGTTTTAGGTTTTAAATTAGACAAGAGCCGAACATATTTTGATAGATCATGATGACTTTCAACACCGAAAAAGTTCACTCACGGAACCCACACGCTTACATAAAGGGTCAACAGTTAGTAACATCAGACTATTCTAGTGTCTTGGTTTAACTATTGTGAGATTTCCCCCACATCGCTTCACACAACATTGTAGATTACAAGCGAAGCTAAAAATACTATCATATGAAAAATTATTTGTTTGCTCGTGTCATGTTTTTTCACCTATACCTTCTATATTTAATTGTTCAAGATAGCTGGTTTTATTACTTTCACGCTTTATCCTTATCTTCTCAAATTCTCTTAACTACCCTAATAGAAAGTGTGACAATTCAGACAAGTAGATGTTTTAGGTTTAATGTTCCTTGTGTATCCTTGTCTACGTAAAAGCTTATGTCCATAGTCGTTAACTCCGAGTAAGCTAGTAGTTCTTTCGAAACAAAAACAAGATAGGTCATAAGGCTGCTTAGTCATCCGATCTTCCATGATGAGAACTACGCCGTGACTAAAAAGTAAATAAATACTTTAATTGTTGTAGAGTTTATTAAGTATAATAGTAATCTCACAGTTCAATATTCATCTCACCTGTAACAAGCCAGACTGTGGCATATATTCCTGCACTCTCGGCAAAATTGAAATAACTGATGCAAGGAAGCAGAAAATAAGATTAAGACTGATTAAAGCCTTATTTAGTCCACATTGTGGAGCACTTGCGTAAAAGATAAACAGGAGTATAATTCCAGCGATCGACAATGAATTAAAGAGAAAAGTGAAGAAGATCAGACCTAGTGCATAACACTTTTCTCCACTTTCTTCATACTGTGTTAGCCAGTTCTCATTCCATGAGTGAGCAAAATCCACAAGAAGAATTAACTGTATGATTATGTACAAACTCCCACCAATCATTCCGACGTACATCCATAAACTTGTAAAACCTTCCACGGGTATGAAGAATGCACCAATCAATAAACCAAACCAACAAACATACTTAAAGAACCAAAACCCATTTTGTAATTTCGCTCTCCAGTCCATAGATGAGTGGACCCGGATCATAATTACACAGAACACAAGATAAAACATAGTTGATGCGAAACAAATACGGTAAACAGCCCCGAAACCAGTAATAGCATCACAATCTAGAGCGGCTTTTTGCTCCTTCGTAAATGGAGACAGCTTAAAAGGTGTACAAAGTGCAGGGATTTTGGTTAGACTGTCTTTAACGTCAGGAATTAGAGCGATTACTGAAAGAAGGATTGTAACAATAAGTATAATACTAAACATCATTCGTGAAGACGTCGAAGACTTGCAACTAGGTAGGCAAGCACAGCACAAGCTAGCAGCAGAACTGCAAAAACAACAAGCGACTGAACTTACAATACAACCCATCACAAGGAATGCAGAGAAAAAATAACTTTAGAACAAAAAAGATATGTCCACCAAATAACCAACTCAAAAAGTTGGTCGAGGGAAGTAAGGTCAATGACGAAGCTTCAACGTCCAACGGAATTGTGGAAAAAAAGTTCAAATGGTCCAAATGGTTGTGGGTGTAATAGAAGAAGCTTTCGCTTAACAGGCTTCCGTGTCTAGTAGCAGCGGATCACCAAATCTTCCAGGCAGGAACCTAGGTATGTTAACAATAAAAGAGGAAAAAGAAACTGGTAAATCATAGTATCAAACATCTAGAGTAACTGAGAAACATGCCTAAGAGTAACGCATAACTTTCAGTCAGTTTCAGTTCCAGTTTGAGAAGGACAGGAGGCTTGATGGTCTATGTTAGTCCTGGCAATGATGGTCTCTCAGTTGATCCAACTTTCTTTTGAAAGAGTCGACGGATGGAGCCTCAACCACGTGCTGAGGTAGTGAATTCCACTCGTTGATGATTCGATGGGAAAGTCGATAGTCAGCTGACAAGTAATTTGTTTTCTGCTTATGAACTTTTTTGGAGTGTCCTCGTAAATTCTCTGTTTTGGAAGACAAGAAAAATGAGGGCATATTAGGTGCAAATTTATCACGAAGCAATTTGTAGACTGTGTAGCGGTAAATAAATCCCCAAAATAAATAGCACTAAGTTTTCGACATTGGATGCTGACCATATGTTTTAGTGGACTCATTTAGCTGAAGGCGCTCGGTCAGGCATCCGCACCAGATCACGTGTGGTAACGCCGTGCTCAACATCAACCGCAATCGCTAGCCAGATTAGATCAGAGAATTCCGATATATTGGTCATCGCCAAATATACTCTTCCGATCTCCTCGACTCTGTCTTTTGATTTCCTCTGGGTGGGAACGAAATACATTAGAAGGTGTTACTGGTAGAAGCGTTGTCAAACACTGAATACCTGTGACATCATTTGGTGAGACCGTCGTGATCTGGTACACCTAATTGCAACTGTGAGTCTGGTCCTTTTTGGGATTTTTATATATCATTGCCTTATTTTTTTATTTTTTTAAACATTGTGATTTTTTTCGTGTTTCTTCTTGGATATATATTTTTTTTTCCCCTCGTTCATTATCATACTTCATCATGACTGAACAGACACCTAAAGTACTCAAGCTTAAGACTTTGTCCCCACCTTCGTTTCAACTGATGCTTTTCTGGCCCGACAACATCGAAGCCTGGTTTTGCTACGCAGAAGCCGACTTCTCCGAGGACGGCGTGATCGACACACGTGCACAATTCCTCGCAGTAGTCAAGGCACTACCGCGCGAATTCAACAGGTACGTAACACCTAGTATGTTTACTAGTGATGTTTCCGATTCTTACGAAATCTTAAAACGCTCGATTCTTAAACGAGGAGACCTAACCGATCGACAAAGTTTAGATCAACTCCTTAATAACATCGACCTGCAACACGGTTCTGCGACGGACATGTTGCAACGGATGAGAGAGGTAATAGGCCCAAGAACTTTCGACGAAGGTCTATTCAAACAACTCTTCTTGTCAGAACTTCCCCAACAGGTGCAAGCAGTTCTGGTCTCGTTCCAGAACAACGCCTTAGACGAGCTAGCTGCATCTGCCGACCGCATTCTAGAAATTACGAAACCCACTACCGAGGTATTTTCAGTCAAAGAAAAGCCTCACACGACTCAGAATGATATAACCGACTTATGTCACACACTCACGCGTTATCTTAGTCTTCGTACCGACCGTAAGAGATAGCGCACACCACGTAGAAGCATTTCTCGTAAGCGATCTGTCTCTAGACCACGAGAGACAGATAACCCCGACTGGTGCTGGTATCATAACCAGTATGGAAAGTTTTCCAGAAATCGCAGAAAACCCTGCAATTTTCCCAACACGAAACCGACTGATTCGAAAAGCAATTAGGAAAACTTCCAAGCCGGCACGCGTTAACGGCAACCGTAGCCGGCGAACAAAGCCGTCTGTTATTCGTCACAGATGTGACAACGAGAGTTCGCTACCTCGTCGACACTGGCGCGGAAGTTAGCGTTCTCCCAGCAAATCCTAACGACCGACTACACGAATCGACCCTAAACTTACAGGCGGCAAACGGAAAACCGATCGCTACGTATGGCAAAAGGTATGTTTACGTTAACGTGGGTTTACGCAAACCCATCCACTGGATTTTCGTTGTTGCAGATGTTTCTATGTTGATCATTGGTATGGACCTTCTACAACACCACAATCTGATCATCGATACGCGCGAAGGGGGGCTAGTAGACGGAAACACTAATTTATCCGTTTGCGTGACTTCTTTTTCTGGTTGCAGATTATTCCCAGTCACAATCAAGCGTACGATAGACCCACTTTATCAACCACTGCTCGATAAGTATTCTGGGATACACATCACATCACGACTAAAGGACCACCTGTATTCTCTAAAGCACGACGACTAGCTCCTGAAAAGCTAAGGTTAGCGAAAAACGAATTCGATTACATGATGGACTTAGGAATCATACGACCGTCAAGTAGCCCATATGCATCTCCGTTGCACATGGTCCCTAAAAAGGACAGCAACGATTGGCGTCCAACTGGTGACTATCGGCAATTGAACGCGAAAACCATTCCCGATCGTTACCCGTTGCCTCACATTCACGATTTGACAGCTACCTTGAAAGGTACAACTGTCTTTTCGAAAATCGACTTGGTTAAAGCGTATAACCAAATCCCTATGGCTACTGACGACATACCGAAAACAGCTATCATAACTCCTTTCGGACTCCATGAATTTTTGCGAATTCCTTTCGGTCTAAGGAATGCTGCTCAAACATTCCAAAGATTCATAGACGACGTTTTTCGAGGTCTCAACTTCGTACACGCGTATGTTGACGACTGTCTAATCGCAAGTCCGGACAGAGAAACACATCTCAAGTATTTGGATCTTGTTTTCAAACGACTACAAAAACATGGCATTACTGTAAACGTTCAGAAATGCCAATTCGGAACCGACTCAGACTTTCTGGGACACACTATCGATACTCAAGGTATCCGACCCCTTAGAACCAAAGTGGCGGCCATTCTGGATTACCCAGAAGCGACTACCGTCAAGCAATCACGCACGTTTAACGGCCTTGTAAGTTTCTATAGACGTTTCATACCGAAATGCGCATTGCTTATGAAACCTCTGACCGACCAACTTCGTGGAAATGCGAAATCCATTAATTTGGACGACACCGCACGAAAAGCATTCTCCACAGTTAAGGAACTGATTGCTAAAGCAACAATACTCGCACATCAGGACACCGAAGCACCCATTAGTATCGCTGTAGACGCATCGGATTCGGCAATCGGTGGCGTCTTACAACAATGGGTTAACAACTCCTGGCAACCCTTGGCATTTTTCTCTAGAAGGTTGCTAGACACCGAATCGAGGTACAGCACATTCGGTAGGGAACTCCTAGCTATGTATTGTGCTGTACGGCATCTCCAACACTATATCGAAGGCCGTGAATTCACTCTTTTCACGGACCATAAACCGCTCACTTTCTCGTTAAGCTCTCCTTCTGACAAGTACTCTCCCCGTGAGTCTCGACAACTGGACTACATTTCGCAGTTTACTTCAGACATTCAACACATCTCTGGAGCAAACAATGTAGTTGCAGACGCTTTATCTCGCATAACTTCCTTGAACGGTTTCCAAGGAATCGACCTTCTTAAACTCGCCGAGCTTCAAAAAGAAGACAGTGATCTTCAGCACGAGTTATCGTCCACAACACTTAAACTACGCATCAAACAGATGGGAACAGGTAAGGAAACCTTACTTTGTGACACATCTACGGGTAGGGATCGCCCAATCGTGCCGAAACATTATCGACTCAATGTCTTCAATACATTGCACAAACTTTCTCATTCAGGTGTTCGTGCAACCATCAAGCTTATAGCAGAACGGTTTTGCTGGCCTGGCATGAATAAAGACGTGAGGGAGTGGGCACGCTCCTGTGTAAGCTGCCAAAAATCTAGGGTTATCAGACACAATAAATGTCCCTTAGGCTCGTTTAAAACTCCCGATGCTCGTTTCGACCATGTTCATCTGGATTTGGTAGGACCTTTACCAGATTCAAATGGATACTCTTATCTTTTAACCTGCGTAGACCGTTTCACTCGATGGCCAGAAGCAGTACCTATTAAGGACATCACTGCTGAAACAGTGGCCCGCACCTTCGTCGAACGATGGGTAGCAAACTTCGGTTGCCCTTCAACCATCACCACAGACCGCGGACGTCAGTTTGAATCTGAACTTTTCCGTCGTCTGACCACACTTTTAGGAATCACTCGCTTCCGAACGACCGCCTACCATCCACAAGCCAACGGGTTGGTAGAACGTTTTCACCGACAACTAAAAGCTTCACTATCAACTGCAAACGTTTCACAGTGGACCGACGCTCTTCCACTTGTCTTACTAGGTATCCGCGATGCAGTGAAAGCTGACATTGGATACACTGCGGCTCAACTCGTTTATGGAACGACACTTCGACTTCCAGGAGAATTCGTGGATCCTTCCTCCTCTTCAATGAACATGGATCTAACCTCCTACACGAACAGGCTTACAAACGCAATGCGTTCAGTTAAACCTGCTTCCACTCGACCTCAATCAACTAATGTTTTCGTTCAACCTGACTTACGATATAGTACACACGTTTTCGTTCATCGAGACTCGCATCGACGACCATTCGAATCAGCATACGAAGGACCCTTCAAAGTTCTTCAACGTGAATCTAAGTACTATATAGTCAACAAGAACGGAACAAACGATAGCATCAGCATCGATCGCTTAAAAGTAGCGTATTTAGAAGGAAATCCCATTCACGTCGACTTTCCTTCGGTACAATCGCACAACACGACTCCTACACTCATAATTCCTCAACCGACAACCGACACTAGCGATGATACTCCGAATGTATCTGAAAATATACCTAAAACGACGC